ACCTTGACTACAGCCCTGTCAGAGCCTAAGCAGACACTTCCGCCCCCCTGTGCCCGGACTCCCGACCCATGAAAACTTTAATGTAATAAATGTATGTTGTTTTAAGCCACTAACTTAGTGGTAATTTATTATGCATCACACACACACACACACACACACACACACACTAATAAATACCTGAACCCTAAAAAGGTAGATTTTACCTATGTAAATAACACCTCAATAAACCAGACTGAAAAAAAAAAATGTGATAAGAATGGAAATCTCTATGAAGGGATTGGAAGATAAAGTTGAAGAAATCACCCAGAAAATGGAAGCAAAGAATCAGAAATGGAAAAACAGCAGAGATAAGAAAATGAGATGACCAGTGAGTAAGACTCAACATCAAAATAAGTTTCTGAAAGGGCGAGAAGGAAATCACAGATGAAATAATTCAAGAAAAACTTTAGGACTACAGAACATAAGTTTCCAATTTTAAAGGTCTCATCCAGCACCAATCAGAACACCAACAAAAAAAAGTAAAATAAAATAAGAGCATCCTATCGGTTTTCAAATAAATTACAAAGAACCAGGAATCAGAATGGCTTCAGGCTTTTAACAACCATGGAAGCCAGAACACAATGAAGAAATAAACAGAAAGTCTAAAGGTAAAAATTTTCAAACATAAAATTCTAAACCGAGGCAAGCTATTAAGTACGGCCGCAAGAGAAAACTTTCCAGTCCTATATCATCACCAGAACTCATTTCCTAGGCATTCTTTCCCAAAAATCTATAGGAGGCTGTGCTCCAACAAAAAGGAAATAAATCAGGAAAGAAAATGATATGGGAAATTATACAGGAAGTAAGCATTCCAACACAGGGGAGAACTGAGGGAATGACAGCTGATAGCTGAAGAGTAGGCGAAAGGGCAGCCGGCATCCACTGGAGCAGATGAGGAGGCTCCAGCAGAGACTTTACCAGGAAGATAAAGCTTGTAGCATACTCATTGCAACTAATATCCTGAGCGAGGAGATGCAAACAGCCAGCACATAGCTTGAGGCTAGTCAGGAGTACTCAGAAAACAAAGTCAACAAAAAACAGGACCTTTATAACGCAAAGAAAAGCAAAAGGTTGTATAAAGTAAGGAAATACAGAATATACAAGAAGGTTCAAACAGGAATATCATTTACGGTCACAATAATTTAAGGGCCAAATACTGACTGAACCAATATCACGGTTCAATAGTGGGAGGGTGGTGGTAAAAGAGCTAATTTTTCACCTTCCAACTGGGAAGTAAAAAGAAAATGCCTATTCATGAATAAAAATCAAGAAATAAAAAAATCAAGAAATCAAGAATTCTATTTCAATACATGGAGAAAAAAATCAAATCAAAAAAGTCAAAAAGTGGTTCTTCTCAGAGAAGAAGGGAAAGGGAAAAGGCAAAGGATATTTTTCGCAACAAGCTTTGTAGAAATTTTTGACCTTTTCAGCTACACGTATACATTATTTCTATGGGAAAAAAAAAAGATGAAGACTATAAAAGCCCTCACGCTGTATTTTTCAACCCCCACTTCACCTAAGTGACAACATTCTGCCTTCAAAAGGGAGAAGGGGAAAGAGGTCATTTGTCTCTGGAAGAATTTATATTAGTTTCTTTTGTTTCACCTTAAGAACCAACTCTTGCTTTACTAACTTTGAATCACTGTAAGTTTTTCTAAAATAACAGCAAAACCCAAATGTCCATCAACTGGTGAATGAATAAAGAAGATGTGGGGGCACCTGGGTGGCTCAGTCAGTTGAGCGTCCGACTTCG